GCAAGACCCTTTAGCCTTTTGTTTGTTTTATTCTTAGAAGATAGCACCCAAAAAGAGCTGTATATTGAGTATATTGCAAGCTGCAATGATCATCATTTCCAGCTGTATGGTGAGGAATGGTTGATGGTTGGTCATAGATGTGACAACAGATAGTTGGCCAGATTTGGAAGCATTGACATCGATCATGATGCTGTTCGCCTGTTCAGGCGGTTTCCTACTCCCAAAGACAAGAGAAGACGGAAAGTGAGTCCCCTTCAGTTTTCTGTTGGACACTGCTCTTTTACATTTTTTGGGGCTGCTATACCGGGTTCGAAGCAATGCGAATTGACGATGCAAGCGAAATCGTGTTGCTAAAGGAGAAAGACAGTGTGAGCTCTTACAACGGTGTCTCGCCAGCAACGCAAAGGCTTCTTTTCAAACATTTTGAGATTCAGCTGAGGGTTTGCTGCTCTAAGGCCCAGAATTTGAGGATGTTGATGAAAAGTTGCAGGAGAGCTTTGACGAGCTATTGGCGGAGGCCTCCACAAAAGCTTTTCGATTGGAGGGTAGCGTAGCGACGTTCGATCAGATGTTTCAGACTTGCTACTTGCTACTAGTAGCTTCTTGTTCCTAGTAGTAAGGCCAGGAGCCCCTAATAGCGTCCTTGCCCCTAGTAGCGATGCCAGGAGCCCCTAGTTGCTTTTTTTCCCCCATCATGTGATTGCTTCTTGCTACATGTAGCTTCTTGTTACAACTCGTAGTAGCGATGACCTCCACCCTAATAATTAATAGCAATGGCCTCCACCTAATAGCGTCCTTGCTACTAGTATCATGTGAGTTGTTTTCCAAGAAAGAAACAAAGTCAGTGAAGCGGAGCGAGTCGACGATGGAAACGCTCACTTTGGAAAGCAAACGCTCGCTGAAGCTGAAACGCAAATGCTCATCCTGTCTGGTGCTTTCCTCCGTGGATCCCTGCTACTAGTAGCTTCTTGTTCCTAGTAGTAAGGCCAGAAGCCCCTAGTAGCGTCCTTGCCCCTAGTAGCGATGCCAGGAGCCCCTAGTAGCTTCTTGCTATTAGTAGCTTCTAGATTCTAGCTAAGTAATACCCTTGCCACCAGCAGCGATGCCCTTGTTACTACCGCCAAGGCCGGCGTCAACGCGGAGCTCTGCGATTTCATCGACGCCATGGCGTTGGACAAGGAGCAGCGCGAGTACCTCCGAGCCTCGGCGCCAACGTACTCACACGAAGGTTGACATTTTTGAGAAGGTATGAAAAGACAAGAAGCTACTAGCAACAAGGGCAAGCGCATCGCTACTAGTAATTCCCTTATTACTACTAGCAAGAAGCTAGTAGTAACAAGAGAAGTCAAGTTGTTGTTTGGTATTTTGTTTGTCTCCAGGTTGGCTGGAGAATGTGCTACCTGACTGCAAGAAAGCTTCATTGTTCTCATTTTTGGCACCTTTTGTTCTTCAGGAAGGACTTCATGGAGAAGTGAAGGGTTTCTGACAAGCTGACTTGCTCCAAAAACCCTGCAAAGAGCTGCAAAAGGAGCACTTGCTTTGGGGCACTCCAAGCCAATCAGGACTAGTTCACACACTCACAAATAGTCTTTCATCTACGCAGGGACTCTCAGCATGTCAGTTTTCGGACCAAGACGGACAAAGTTTTGTCAACAAAAGACATTCAAAAGAGGACATGTCAACAATTGGTTTGTAACTGACTCTATACAGATATACCATGTCGCATTCTGCATTGACATTGGTTCTTTGATGAGTTTACTTTCATACTGCACTTGTCGTTTACCATCAAGAAGGACTTGCAGAGGCTGAGCTCAACCCTTAACGACTGGGCTAGCATATCACGGCTTTGTCAAGCGCAGATTGCAGGCCATGGATGGCAATGATACGCTGAAGCTGCTTTTGCCTGCAGCGGGTTTTGCAATTGGCGTGTTTGGCTCAGCTGGGCAGTGTGTCCTGTTCGAAAGCTCGTGCGAATACTCGATACTTGCACCAAGGTCTCCCTGCTTCTATACTTTTGGCCAAGGCTGGGGTTGTTCCGTTGTTCCAGCTGAAGGGGTTCTCCACATTTATTCCATCTCCATACTGTACATTGTACATCTGAAGGGGCACCATGTTGCAGAGATAGCTGGTACAGCCATTGCAGGCCACCAAAGGTCTTCTTGACTAGAAGCGAGCGCAAGCGTGCACAGGCGAGAGTGGCACATGGCTTTGTGGAATATTCAGTGAATTTCGCTTTCCTTTCCCAAAGTTGTTAATCCAACAAGTTCCCATTCAAAGCCTCATTGTTGACTGTGCATGGCACGCATAGCAACTTCCTGCACCTGCTGCAGGTCGCTGATGTTGTTGAACTGTCACACGACACAAAGCGCATACGATTGTCCTTGGGCGGCAAGAGCACAATTCTAGGCCACGTGAGTGCGAATCGGGTCTAGCAGAGGTTTTGAGTGAGAGGTCCTATCGTGACCTTCACACAACCTGCTGATTGGATGTGGACATTTCATGTCCCATTTCTGAAGTTCTCAAAACAAGGAATATTTTGCATGCTGACATTGGACAGCTTTAGTTCGATCCATCAAGCAACAGCAGTGTCGGAGGGCTTCCAGTGGGCAAGCACATTGTGGTCTACGGACCCAATCCGCCGCAGTGTCTTTCATCCGGCACTTGGAATGGCAAGCCATGTTCTCAGTTTTATTGAGGCCATGCACAGCGCCATTTCAATTAGCTTTGAGGCCGGACCCTGACAAGGGAAAAGCTGAGATTGACCGGAAGTACCTTGGTGGAACGGCATGTGAACGTGAACCGGCGAAGGTCGCAAAGATGCTGAGTGGAGTCTGGAGCGTATGAGAGAGGTAGTGACGGCAGTGTGCTTATGAGTGTGTACAGTCAGAGGGAGGGAAGGGGTGAGGTAGAAGGAAGTGAATGGCCCGCACACCGTTACTGGGGCCATGAACACTGTTTTAGCCCAGTTCAGTAAGGTTTCGATTCGGTTGGAATCGGTTGGAATGTTTAATTGAAACTTCGATTCGGTTCGGTTTGGTTGTAGAAGTATTTTTTCATGGACTTGCAGTTCGGTTCACGGTTCGTTTCGGTTCTGTGAGGCAAAGGTTACGCAGTGGGTCAGTGGGGTAAAGAAAAAATCAAAGATAAAGAGACAAGACAAGACTTGACTGTAGACAAGACAGGACAGGACAGGAGAAAAAAGAGAAACCAAAAGGAAAGGAAAGGAAGGCAATTATTTTAAGGAAAGGAAGGGAAGGGAAAGCAAAGAAAAGGAATAGAAAAGGAAAAGGACAGGTAAGGAATGCAATTTGTGGATATGCTTTTTTTCCAGGCAGCCTAAAAAGCATACAGGAAAGGAAAGCAAAGAGAAGGGAAGAAAAACGACAAGGAAATGAACGGAAAGCAACTTGTGAATGCGCCTGAAGCCGGGCTGCGCCAGTGACATCTGTATGGGCATTCCAGTGGGGGACTGCTGCTCTGAAACTCCAAGACCTTGGACAGTCTGAGAAAAACATCACAAAGTTCCTTGCTGATTGACCTCGGAACAGAGAGGAACGTTTCGTTTTTCTTTTCGGTTCGGTTGTGTTTGGAAAATTGACGTTTGTTTGCATTCGGTTCATGAACCAATTTCGCTTCTTGACGTTCGCTAACTTTTGGTTCCGAAAGTCCGGCTCCGAATCGACTCGGGACCCTTTGTGCAGTTCTTTTTGACGTTTGCCTCTTTGTCAAGGTACACACCGGTCACAGGCAATGAGCAGCCAGGCTATGTAGACTTAGTTGTCACCTCCTCAGTTTGAGTCAGGCAAACATTGAATCATATTGAATCCACATTGAACAATGTTGGTCACAGGCCATCCTATTTAATTGGGAAGGGAATGGAACTTGTTCCGCTGACCGACAGTCATGTTTCACTTCATAAGATGAGATCACTTAATGATCGCCGATCACTCGATGTTCAGATATATTCCTATCTTTAAGATTATCAAGTAATCAAGTGTGTTGAATATCAACACCTGATATTAGATCAAGATGAATCGCTGAGGTAAAGATCTATAAGCCTGGCACTGTGAAGATGCCGGATGGTAAGGAAGTGAAATGGGATGATGGTTGGGGAACCCGGGCACCCGAACATCCCAGCACAGCGGCGTTCTTCTGGAACGTTTAAGTCACCTGAGAGGGTCGTTTGTTCTTGTTTTTCACGGTGCCTCCAAGGTGGCAAAATCGGGATGTACTTGGACAGCCACCTCCGGCGACGTTTTCGTCCCAATAACGACGGCCTAGCGATGGCCTCCAACCTACTAGCGATGGCCTCCAACCTGATAGTAATGGCCTCCAACCTAATAGTGATGGCCTCCAACCTGATAGTAATGGCCTCCAACCTAATAGTGATGGCCTCCAACCTCTAGTAATGGCCTCCAACCTGATAGTGATGGCCTCCAACCTACTAGCGATGGCCTCCAACCTAATAGCGATGGCCTCCAACCTGATAGTAATGGTCTCCAACCTAATAGTGATGGCCTCCAACCTACTAGCGATGGCCTCCA